TGGATCTCGACACTGACGTCGACTCGTGCGTTGACTCGGAGTAGGTATGGGTCTTGTGTAAGGTTTATGCTCTGCTGCGTTTTTCATATATTAAAAGTCCGTTTTGGTATGCTCTTTTGTGGTGTGTATGCGGGAGTACAATTTGTCTTGTATGGTTTAGTGGCATAATTTTCTATGTACGATATTGCCACAGTCAGTCACTTTTGTGCTACTAATTATTATGGACTATTTTGTATAATATATATTCCATTTGTGCATCATTTTATTCATTTTTTCGACAACACATCATCACGAGTTCAGAGCACAAAATACGGGGGAAGGATAATAATATAAAATGGCGACAACTACCAAAATTAGAATACATAGCAACTACGTAAGCCAAATAACATTACGCATTCAACAAAAGACACATATATTTCATACAAAGATCAATAAATAGCGTACGGGAAAAGGTAGTCAACCATATTAAAACCACAATAAACACTTAAACAGTCACCAACAAAGAAAACACATACTACGCACACAAGTGGATTCAATAACATGATCGTCATTTCAAACTTGAGGATCGCTAGTCGAACCCTTGCAGGAAGCCGGGTCTGGCTTACGCGGTGGACGTGGGATGCGCAATGGGGTTCGACTGCCCCTCCGATTAATTAACACGTGGGCATGCGTGTTAACGGAGCTTTCGGACGAGGCATCGTGCGGGCCACCGTGGTGCGGTGGAGCGTTGTTGCGACTACAAAGTGATTGCAAAGCATTGTAATAGGAATTGTCATCAACGACATGTGTTTGGGCTGTAGAGTTGCGGTCATGAACAACTTCGGACCTTGGGTTTGTACAAAACACCTCCTCGAACATGACACGCAAGTCCGGCCAACGTGGGTCTCCGGAATGTTGATAAGCAACGCTAAAAGCGTTTGACTAAAATAGTAAAATAAAAAAGATCTTCAGTAGTGTAAAATAGAATTTTGTAATGAAAGCATTTTTTTTTGAAATGAAGCTTCTACCTCGAAGACATCATCCCAAACGGCAACCGGAGCGGTGAGGATATTTGTTTCAGTGCAGTGTCGTAAACCGGGTTTGCCTAGCATCCAGCTAAAAACATCGTACCGCTTTTGAAGAAAGTTGAATCTCTCAGCAAATTCATCGTGACTAATAGTTTGTTCGAGTTCGTAAATGAAAATAGTGCGGCAGTAACCGTAAACTGCAGGCCCGGGACGACCACTACTCCACTTCCCAAGCAGATGCGACTCAATGAGCAAGTCAATAAAAAGATTGTCGGCCTCTTTTGTCCAACGACTGTCGTAGAGGCATTCATCTTGCGTTACGGGAGTGGAAAGGCGAGGCATTGAATTTGAAGTCAAGGAGAGTGGAAAAATGAGAAAGAATTATCTGTGGAAAAAAATGAACGATTTTACCATCACATGTTGTACTCTCGTTTTATAGTGGGAAATATGTGTACAGAACATGCATTGGATTCCTTGAAAACAAATACAATAATGTAGATTTCTTTTGCTAGTTGTTCTAGTCATAAGGCTCATGATGGTATTGGTAGGGAAGAAGAATATTGCATGTCAGGAAAAATCCACCATGCATCATAAACACAATCTATTGATTGACATAAGATGGAAAAGGTTCACAGCCAAAGGGGAGGAAAAATCCACAT